CTCACAGCTGTGTGCGGCCCCACCCAATGGCATCCCTGTCCCTGTCACGTGCCTGTGGAGGCCGCCCAGGAGGTTGTGATCAGGGGTCGTTAAAGCCCCTGCACTCACCAGGGCCTCCTCCCCTGCCCCCTTGCGTGTCCCCCTGTTCGCCCGTTCCATCGCCTGGGACCCGGGAAACTGTGGTCTGTGACCGTGTGGGGTGTCAGCTTGTCTGCTCTGGGCCCCGTCGTGGGCTCCACGCCTGTCACGTAAAGGTCCTCACGACTCAGTTTCAGAGTGAGCACACAGCGCATGGAGGGAGGGCGGCAGGACGAGCCGGGGCCACGCTCCCGTCTTCTCACAGTCCTGTGTGTGTGAATCGTTTCTTCACAGGAGGTCCTCGCTCTGCGCTGGTCCTCGGGGCGCAGCCGTGGGCGCCATGGGCAACTCTTCCACACATGACCAGGCCTCCAACAGCACTTTCAATCCTGAGACACCCCAGCCTCTGGAGGTCGTCACTGCCCTCAGCATCGTCATCTGCTTCGGGGGGCTGGTGAGCAACGGCCTCGTTCTCAGCGTCCTTGGGTTCTCGGTCAAGTGGGGGGACTTCACCGTCTTGGTCTTCCATTTGTCGTTGGCTGACTTCCTCTACCTTTCCAGTCAGACGGTGTGGTTCTTACAGGATTTTCTAGACATCCGGTTTTATATGAACTACACACTTCTGCTCACGATCGTCTCCTACTGGGTGGGGCTGTGTGTGCTGACGGCCATCAGCGTCTGGCGCTGTCTGTCCGTCCTGCGCCCCATCTGGTGCAGGCTGCACGCGCCCCGGCACGCGCCCGCCGTGGTGTGCTCCCTGATCTGGGTCCTCTCCGTCTCGGTGAACGTGCACCTTTTCCTCGTCTGTCTGACGGAGAAGTTCTTTAACAAGAATTCTTGTGATCTGTACATATTAACATGGTCTGTGTTTTTCTGTGTTCTTTTTTCCGTCACGCTGACGTGCACTCTGATTATGCTGTTCAAGGTCAGGTGCGGCACCCGGCGCCGACCTCCCCTCACGTTTTACATCACCGTGCTGGTGACGGTCCTGTTTCTGCTGTTCACCTCCCCCCTCGGCATGCATGTGGTCCTCCTGCTCGATTCGTCTGAGTTCAGTTTGCCCAACATCCTGCTGCTGCTCTCCTGTGTGAACAGCAGCGCCAACCCTCTCGTCTACTACTTTGTAGGCAGGATCGGGGGGCGCAGGCGTGGGGAAAACTTACAGGAGGTTTTCCAGAAGGCTCTCGGGGAGGAGTCAGGTCTGACAAGGGACAGTTCCAGCGGGGCCGTCAACCGTTCGGGGTGAGGAAGGAGGAGGGACGAGGTCAGGGTCTGCGCTGTGACCGACTCTGCTCACAGGGGCCCCCTCGTCCCCATCCCAGCACGGGAACCGCCTTCACTCACCTGCGACCCGCGCTGGGGCTCTCTGTCCCCGGTGAGCCTGTCCCATCTGGTGGCCTTGCACTCTGCCCCTCCATCCTTGGGTGCTGTCTGGTCTGTACAATGAGGGCCACCTAACCCCTGACAAGGAGACAGCATCCCCATCCACGGGTGGAAAGAACGTGGGCACTGAACCCAGATGCTCGCATGCTGCTTTGCTAAATCACCCCAGGCCCTCGCATAACAACCCCCCCCCCCACGCCCACGGAGCTGAGGCTCTGCCCGGCACATAAAGACTCTCACAGGAGTCCTCGTCCCCTCTGTTGGGCGTCACATCTGAGGGGACCGGGAGGGAGAGGAGCAGATTAAAATGAGCAAGTGCTGACCATCGGGGGCGGATCCCGGCGCCCCTCCCCACTCAGTCCTTCTGCTGGGAGTCACGGACGCGTCTCCCACGTCGCCGTGGAGCCGTGGAACCGCAGTGACGGCCCCAGGGGCAGAGGACGTGGGAGGTGCCGGCTGTGCGCGGAACTGGGGACAACGCAAACTTGTCTTTGTGCGTGTGAAACGAGGTCGGACCGTCGGGTAACTCCCTCCCCTCTGATGCATCGGGCACGGCTGTGGGTCCGCGCGGGTCGTCCAGAGGAGGTGGGGGAGGGGGAGGGTGTTTGCCATGTGACAACTGTAAACGTTTGAATGTAGAGTCCCTCTGTCTAAGGTGACAGAGTCCCCTGATGTGTCTGCTCCCTGGAACCCTTTCTGAAATAAAGTCTGGAAATGATCAACCTTCTAACATGCTGTCTGCCCTTCCTGGTCCGTGTGCTTTGCCCGAGCCCCCACATTCATGAGTGTGGGGCGGGGCTGGGGGAGGGGCCGGAGCCAGAGGGGTCTGCTCTCAGGGAGGCCTGGTGAATGAAGGGCCCATAAAGGACGGTCGTCATGTAAAGCCCTTGGGGACCTGCACACTTGTCATGTGGGCCCATCTCAGGGGCTGGTGTCCTCTCCATGAGCTCAGTGTAGCGCCCCTGTGGGAGTCTGCTGGAAACACCACAGCAGGGGCCTCAGTGACAGACCCTCACTGTCCCCATCCTGGGGCTGGAGTGGGAGGTCAGGAGTCACAGGGCTGGTGCCCCCGAGGCCCCTCTCCTGGGTGTGCAGATGGCCGTCCCCTCCCTGTGTTTCCACGCAGCTGTCCCTGTGAGTGTCTGTGTCCTGATCTCTTCCTACTAGGACCAGCCAGTCTGGACTGGGCCCCACCCTGGTGACCTCATGTCCACTGGTCACCCGCAGAGGCCCTGGGCCCTGACCAGGCTGTGCTCACAGGCACTGAGCACTCGGGACCAGTCTCAGGCAGGTTCCCCCTGTGAGAACGTCAGACTCTGTGATCGGCGGTGGAGTGAGGGTCGTGTATCCAGAAACCTTCCAGGGATGGACTAAAGTCCCCAGAGTGCCTGCTTGTGACAAAAGCAGTCAGCTGGCAACACATGGCTCACATCCCTGAGTCCCCTTTGGAGCCCACCTGAAGGAACTGGACACCTAACAGCCGACCCGACCTTGAACCTCATGGCTGTGTCCAACCACTTTAGAGGACCACGTCCCTCAGGCAGGAAGTGGAGGAGGATGTCTCAGCGCCAGGAGTCCCAGGATGCACTGTGTGCACCACATTTCCAGTAAATGCCCCCCCACCCGGGAAGACTCCCAGCCCTCCCTGCAGTGAGTCCGTGTCTGCCCATCTCCAGCCGGAGGGAAGTGAGGGTGCGGCTGTCCCGATGGGCCCAGTAATGGGTTGGTGAGAACAGGGGCCTCGACCGTGAGGGAGAAGGACAGGCTGACCATGCCCTGTGCCTCATGGTCACTCCCCCAGGACGCAAGCTGCAGGGGAGGGTGAAGACCGCTTCTCCTCCTCATTGTGCCCGTCCCCCTGGGCGGTCACAGCCCTGGGCTGTCGCAGCTGCTCCAGTGGCCTGTCCTTCCTCAACCGGTGTTAATAAAGAATATTTGAGTCCCACGATGCAGTGGGAGCCCTCATGGAGGTCATGGGTCCCCGATCACGAAGCCTGTCTGTGCCCATTGGGACACGTCTGTCCCTAGAGGGAGCCCTCTGCCCCCCCGGCCCTGCACCGCAGCCCCACGCTTGTCCCACGAGCTCAGGGACGGGGACCCCAGACTGGCGTGTGTCGGCACGCACTCCCCGGAGCCTGCTGCTCCCTGGTGACTTCTGAAGACACGGCAGCTTCATGGCACGTGTCAGTGATAGGAAACCTTCCACTCATGTGCGCTCAGCGGTGACTGTGATTCCGGCTGGCCTGTCTGTCCCGTGGCAGCGGGAGGCGGAGGCGGTGCTGACGTGGGCACGGCACACAGGGGTCCCTGTGGCTGCAAACAGAGCCCGCCCGCGGCGTCCAGCCATGACGAAACTGCTCGTACCCGACAGCGGGTGACCACGGAGGTGGCCGCGTCCTGTGGTTCGACCTGGCAGCCGGCACGGCGCTGGCACCTGGTGGCGTCTGGAGTGACGAAGAGGGCATCTGCCATCGCAACAGCCCTTGGTGGCCCACTTCACGATCACTGTCCTCACGCAGGCCGGGAGCGTGGCACCACCACAGCGGGGGGGGGCCTCCCCCCGGGGATGGGAAAGCCGCCCCTCCCTCGGCACACCCTCCGGGGCCACAGGGAGACCAGCAGAACCGACGGGGTGGGCGGGGGCAGGGTGCGGCCCGGGCGGAGAGAGGCTCCCACAGGCTCCCGGGCAGTGGAGGCGGGGGCTGCTCGTCTGCTGCAGGCCGGCCTCCGGTCGGGGGCAGGATGAGGGTGGGGGGCATCAGGTGCGTCGGTGTCAGACCAGCGTGGATGTGCCGGGTCCTGAGGAGGGCCGTGCCGTGCAGGCAGCCCAGGGCCCTGGCCGGCAGGCAGGCGTCCCCGGAGCCCCAGGAACCGTGAAGGACCAGTCTGTGCTGCGCCCCGATCCACACGCCTGTGCCCACAGAGACCCTGGGGGACCCCACTGCCGCCGCGTCCCGGGCCACCTGAGGGCACTCCCCTGGCCTCGGCCCCGTGCCCGTCCTCACTCTCACTTGAGAACGTATTTGCCCGTCGAACACCCCTACTTTTCCCATCCAGCAGTTTCGCCTCCCCTGTGTCATCGTCGTGGGGTTTTCGGGGTGCTTTTTGTGTCATGTTCGTGGACCACCCGCCTACCCCTCGAGCTGCTGTGCGAGTCCCGACGGGCAGGCTGAACAGGCATTTTCATTCACGGCGGGCCGACCGGAGGCGGGTGCACTGGCTCCGGGCACGCCGTGGCTGGACGTCCGCCCTGGTGGCATGGGACGGAGGGAAACCAAGGTCCCTGCAGGGTTAGGTCCTCAGGTGGACGACGACAGGGACGGGGAAACAAGGCGGGGGGAGGAGCCAGTGTGGGGAGGGGGACAGTGACGGGAGCCCTAAACAAGGGCGGAGGAAGGACAGGGGGAAGGCCACGTTGCAGACTGTCCACGACAGGCCCCGCCCTGTCCCCTCCCGGTCCTGGGCCGCATGGGCCTCGGGGACCCTCGGGAGCACGTGGGCGGAGGGGCCGGGGAAAGCACTCGCTTCAACAGTGAGTTAAAAAAAAATCACATTCTCTTGATTTCAACTTTTTTCTTTTTTGAAGAACCAGCTTCAGAGGTCCCTCCCCTTTGACACGTGCGTGAAACAGGACTTGCTGAGGCCCTGCCTGCTCATGGCAGGGGTGGCTGAGCTGTGCCCGAGGTCCCCGGCGGGGCCCACGTCGCCCACGGGATCCCGGCGGGCGGGGAGCCCTCCGCACGGCCGACGTCAGTCCGCGCCGTCCAGGTGCTGCCGCTCCCTCCTCTCCAGCTGGAGCACCTGGCGGGAGAAGCCCCGTGAGGACGCAGCGACCCCTGGCCGACCCCAGCGTCACGCCGTCGAAGTGCGTGCACGAGTCCCCCCAGGAGAGCGTGGCAGCCACGGACCGGACCGGGAAACCAGGCGATCGGACGGCATCGCCCAGGCACCCAGGGTGGTCCCTGTGCAGGGACCAGTCTGCATGGACGGCCACCACCCTCCCGCGGTGACTGCGGATGACAGGCCTGCAGGGGACTCTACCGTTCCCTGGTGTGGCTTCTGGGGCGTCCGCACCTGTCCATCTCTGGGCGCACAGCCTCCAAACCCCTTTCCTGCTCTGGGGGGACCCTTGCTGACACACCCTGGTGGGGACCCAGCCGCATCTCTTGCTGACTCCTTGTTGCGGGCGGGGCCACGGGGCATGGTGTTACCTGGCTCCCGCCTCAGTTCTCACCTCAGTCCCTCAGAGACGCCTCCCGTCACCAGGTATGACACGGGCTCCTCCAGCGCCCGAGTCCCTAGCTCAGCCGTGCGCCCCACGGGGCTCATCACGTCCAAGGCATCCTGGGCTCACCCTCAGCCGCCCTCCCCCTCCCGTCAGATTATCACGAGCGGGGGGCGGGGTCTAACTCACTGACCCTCGTGGAAAAGGGAAGGAGGCAAGGGCCTATACCTGCTTCTTGCCTTGATTCATCAAATCAGCGCCCCCTTGACTCACTCGGAATTAGTCAGAGAACAAAGGACACGGGGTGCCCTGGGAGCTGAGAGGCCGTCTGCCTGAGCCCGCGGCCCAGGCGTGGCTGTGGCGGACACTGCACTCACAGTGTGATGTACAGCTTCTCGTTTCGGGGTACAGAACCCCCACAACCACAGCGCGGCCCAAAGCAGCCCACACCGAACTCTGACCGCACGCCACGGGTCCCCGTGCAGAGCGAGGGGCGACCAAACAGGACCCCCCATCTGCAGACAAAGCCCACCCGCCCGTGCCGCGAGGCTGCCTCGGCGGTGGGTGCCGAGCACCGCGCAGCCGCCCGCCCTGGGCCCGCTCACCTGGCCTTCGATGCACCGGAACTGCCAGGGCCAGCCGGCGCGGTAGAGAAAGGGCCGCAGGTCGAACCTGTTGTCGTCGGGGCTGTAGCTCTCGGCGTGGTAGGCGGGCGTGAGCGTGGTCATTTTGTGTCTGTTCGTGGCATACTTGGAGAAAAACCGCTCCACTTTGTCAGCCACCTGGTGGGGGCGGGGAGGATGCCAGGGGCGTCACGGTCTGATGGGAGGCCGTGGTTCTTGCCCGTGTCTCACAGGGCGGCGCCAGCGGGCAGGTTCCCCGCAGCACCGGAACGTCCCGGAGGCGGCAGGGACAGAGCTGGAGCTCGGGCCAGGGGGCAGGCTGAGCTGCAGCCACGTGGGCCCCACACCCGCGCCCCGGAGAGGACCTGCGCCAGTCCCGGGGGGATCTCTGCCGCCAGGCCTCCTGGCGGTTCTCTGGCTGCAGCCCTCGCGGGTGTGATGACCAGCAGACAAGCAGCGATGCGCTGACCTCCGCGTCACGCTCTGCCCCCCCAAGGAAGGGCGCAGTGTGCTCCCGGAGGCGTGGCCGAGACCCGCTCCCCCGGACTTGGCCGGCCCTCGGGAAGGCCCGAGCCGGTGAAAGCTCGGAACTGCGCCGACGTGTCGTGAGACGGCGCGCAGGGGCCTCGGGCTGTGCCTCCTGGGCCCGCGAGTCCAGCCCACTCCGCCAGGGCGCCCCCCACTGCAGCCATCCCCGTGGCACGTCCGGCGCGGCGCACCTGTCTCGGGGTGAAGGTGTCCCTCCACATGTGCAGGAGCTTGCAGAACATGCTATAGGGTCCGGCCTTGGCCATCTTCCGGAGCCTCCCGAAGACGGACAGCTCCGCGTAGGTCATGCCCATGTCTTCCTGCGGCGCGGAGGGGGCGGCCGGTCAGGGCGGGAAGGACGCACGCGTACAGCTCCGGCGTGGGCGGGAACCGGGGCCCGGGGGCGGGGCTTCCCAAAGGGCCGGGGGCGGGGCTTCCCAAAGGGCCGGGGGCTGACGCTGAGGCCTCATCCGCCCCCAACACGGACTGGCCAGTAAGAAAGAGGCTTTCGGAGAACATGATGACCACACATCCGGTTTTGAGGACTGCGGTAGGCTGAACTGTGGCCCCTCAAAAGATATATCCCCAGCCTAAGCCCTGGAAACCACACACTGGCCTCATTGGGGAAAAGGGTCTTCGCAGACGTAATTAAGGATCTCAAGGTAAGGTGACCCTGGATTTGAGGCGGGCCCGAAGCCAACGGCAGGTGTCCCCAGCGGGGACAGAGGGGAGAAGATGGAGCAGAGGCTGTGTGAAGACGGGGACAGTGGTTTCAGCGATATGGCCACCAGCCTGGGGACGCCCAGAGCCCCAGGAGCTGGAGGAGGCAGGAGGGGCCTGCCCCCCAAATCTTCAGGGGGAGCTCGGCCCCGCTGACACCTTGATCTCGGACTCTGGGCCTCCAAATCTGGGAGAAGGCAGGTGCGTTGTTGACACTGGCCAGCATAGAGTTCTGTTACAGCCACCCAGGGCACCCACACGAGGGCCCACGTCAGGCCCGGGCCCACCCCAGGGAGCCCGCCTTCCTCAGGGACAGCTGACTCAGAGAAGGGGAGGGGGGCTCACGGAAATCGGGGCCACACTCGGGGCCATGGGGGCCTGAAGCCCTGGCGTGCGCCTGACCCTTTTGCAATGTTGGCTCCGATTCTCCCTCAATTCCTGCTCCCCCCAGAATGTACAGTCAGAGGGAGACGGTGGCACTGGTGCTTTGTGACACAGCAGGGCAGCCCTCACCTCTGCCCGGGGTCTGTGGGGCCCCCGGTGACGGGCTCTGACTCCTGCTCCCGCCACCCACCCTGCCTTCCCTCAGGCCTCAGCGCCGCCGTCACCTCCTTGGGAGGCCTGGCCTGACCCCCATCCGAGGGACACTGCCACCCTCAGGTCACCAAGGTTGATTTGGGGGGCAGACTCAGAGCCATGGGGGTCATCACGGTCACTTCCTGCTGGTCTGTCCCCTCCAGGGTCCTGACAGCATTTTGGGGAAAGTGACCGTGTCTGCCTCGTTCCCCTCGGGTCCCCAAGCACCAGTGGGCTCTGGCGAGGACCGCCCTCATCGCTGCCCCCGTGAAGGAGTCCTGTCCCGTGTGACATCTCGGTCCCTGAAGTCCAACAACAGGCGGAGGCCTCAAGCCCCCACTTCCAACAAATGGTAGAACCAGACGAGAAAGTCGCCGAGGCGATGGGAGACCTGGACGCCGGAAACCAGCCGGACCTCACGGGCGCCCTGGACGCCGGAAACCAGCCGGACCTCACGGGTGCCCGCAGAGCCTCGGCCGACGGCTGCCGCACTCTCCCCAGGGTGGCCCCGGGACGGACCCTGCACAGCGCCCCCCGGCGGGGCCGCGGAACTGGCCTCGGCCAGTGGGAGGACCTCGAAGCCCCACAGACCACGACAGAACAGAATCCCAAGGTCAGCAACAGAAAGGAAGCTGGGGAACTGGCGAGGGCAAAAGATATGAAAAATAAAATTCACTCCCAAATAGCCGACGGGTCAAAGGAGAAAGCCGAGGAAAACTGGAGCACGTTCTGAGACGAACGAGGAGGAGGACCCAGGACGCCGAAACGGAGAGGCCACCGTGAGGCCGGTCTGAGAGAGGCCACGGCTGCACACGCCTGTGTGTACAAAGACGACACCCCAGTCCACGACCTGACCTCCCACCTCCGGCACCAGTACCCCGATCCCGACACCAACCCCCGCACCGGCACCGGCACCGGCACCGGCACCGGGGGAGAGCAGAGCAAACCTGAAGCGCGAGAGAAAGGACATCCCTCCGGCCGGAGGGGGAATCTGAGAAGCCGAGAACCGAAATGCAGCCGACACAGCCCAGCGACGAGACACCGGCTCAGTGAGCCCCCAGAGGAGCTCGGAAAACAATTCCACTTACAGCAGCACCAAAAGTCAGTCACCTAACCCGCAAATTTAACAGAACGAGTGCACTCTTGCACTCTGGAAAGCGCAGCCGGCGCCGGAAGATGTTAGCAGAGGTCAGGGCACCTGGAAAGACACCCGAGTTCGGGGCTCGGAAGACTCACGGTTCCCGGGGTGGCCACGCCCACCCGAGGCAGCCCCGGAGCCAGCGCAGCCGCCGCTGCCGCCAGCACTCAGCTGGGTTTCCTTTCTTCGGGCGGAAACTGACAGGCGGATCTCAGGATCCGTGGGGAAATTCGAGGGACCCGGAATTTCCAAAATCGCCTTCAAAACCAGGGACCAAGGGGCAGGGCCCGCACGTCCAGGTCTACGAACTCGCCACACCGCTCCGCGGGAACACGGGTGGTCCTGGCGCGAACACAGCCCGCGGACCCGTGGAGCAGAAGCCAGAATTAAAACACGCGTCTACGCAGTCAGCTGATTTTCCACCACAGTGCGGAGGCAATTCAGCAGGAGAAACAACAGTCCCGGCAACAACCCAGGCTGGGACAGCCGGACGTCCCCGTGCGGAGGGACGGCCCCGCCTCCCTTCCTCCCGCGGCTCACACGGAAACTGACTAGACGAGGTCGCAGCCCACACAGCTCCTAGGGGAAGATCCAGGAGCGGATCTTTGTGACCGAAGGGGCCGGAAGCAGGAAGGCCAGTTGTCACGGATCTTACGGCAGTCCACGGTCCCTCCCACGAGTGTCCACTGCAGCCGCGAGCCACAGCCTGTGACCCCAACCGGCCAGAATCGGTAAAGGCCAGCCCGAGGCACATGCATCTGTGGGGTCGCCCACAGCACATGCTGACACCCCTCGCCCACGCTCTCCCTCCCCCCGGCCCAGCCTCCAGATGGCCGAGTCAAAATGTCAACGGCCAGTAGCGGACCGACCCCGAGCCCGGGCTCCAGGCCAGACACCCAGCGCTGGTGCGCGGTTCCCTGGGACAGAAAGGAGGCCGTGAGGGAGCCCAGCCCAGACACGCCGGGAGCAGGGAGGCAGGGCAGAAGCGTGGTGACAGAGCCACCGCTGTTACCTCGTCCGTCTGGGACACCTGTCCCTCGGCCAAGGGCTCCAGCTCTGCGGTGGCTGGCGCATCCAGGATGCTGCGGACAAGACACGCAGGTAAGTCACGGCCGCTGGATGCTCATTAGCTCAACAGACACCGTGAAAGCACCAGGCTCTGCCCTCCACGCGGCCACGGGAGCTGCATCAGAACCCCCAGGCTCATGGTGGCAGGGGGAGGGGGACCCGGGGACGAGGGAGGTGGCGGCCGCCTGCCCTGGCCTGAGCCAAGGGGACTGGGGCACAGGAAGGAAGGGAGAGGGTGTCCCGGTCGGGGGCTCCCGAGAGCCAGTGGCAGGCAAGGCTGTGTCATCAGGCAGTGGGGACTGAGGAGCACGGGTGGAGCAGGTGAGGGTGGTGGCCCGTGCTGCGCAGGGACTGGACAGGCACCGGCTTAGGGCCATGGCCACAGCCGCGGCCCCAGCCTCCGGGGCGGGCGGGCGGCCCTCACCGCTGCAGGGCGGGAAGCTGGAAGCGCTCGAGGCAGAACTGGACGAAGGTCCGCAGGTCGGTCTTGCTGATCCCGCCGATGGGGTTGATGTCCGCGCTGGAACAGTCGTACTTGGTCAGGTAGCCCAGGAGGCTGCAGCGAGGGAGGACACGGGGTTCCATGCAGCTGACCTTGGGATCTGCAGATGCCGGGAATGGGGGGCCTGGGACCCCGAGGCTGGCTTCCCCCAGGGGCCCGTGGAGCCTGAGCTTGGCACTTGGGATGGGAGTCTGCTCGGGCTGGGGCAGACTGTGTGTGGGGGGAGGAGCTCGGGGCCTCGGCGCACAGGGGGGCTGAGCCGGGGGCAGCAGGGCCACCTGCTGTGGTGGACAAAGAGTGGCCCCGAAGAGGCCCACGTCCCAATCCCTGGGGCCCGTGGATGCCGGACGCCACAGAGCAAAGGGGCCCTGCAGCAGTGACGAAGGTGGGGACCAGAGAGGAGGCTTTGATCCTGGATTCCTGGGCGGCCCCAGTGCGACCACAGCATCCGAGAGGCGGAACAGGGAGGCGGGGTCAGCGCCGGAGGGAGCTGTGACCGCGGAGGAAAGTGCTGGCCCGGCAGGGCAGGCAGGGCAGGCAGGGCAGGCAGGGCGCACGGGCCAAGGGGCGAGGGCGCCTGCAGAGGCTGGAGGCACAGCCCGAAAAGCCCGGAGCCAGGTCGGGGGGTGGGCTGAGGAGGAGCAGTGTCCTCACCTGCCATATCTTGAGATGCTGGAGCACTGATGCCACCAAAGGAGCCACACGTGCCCTGAGTGACACCGGATGACGTGACACCCCCACTGTGCCTCGGGGAGCACTCCCCCTGGGAGATGCGGCGTGCTCGGGACCCCCCACCGCACCCACGGGACCTACACACCTCTCGTCCACGTTGGCAGACCCGAGCACCAGGAGCCCGCCCCGCGCGTCCCGGGACCAGAGGCTCAGCTGAGCGAACAGGTAGGCGATGACCATCCTCAGCCGAGCCTGGACGACAGGAGGGGGAACGTGACCCTGTGCGGGGCACATGCATGGGGGCGCGGGGCGAACACCACGGCCCGTCCCAGCTCGAGAGAGAGGCTGTCCCCGAGCACCCTCTGGAAAACAGGAGAGGCAGAGGCATCCGGCTTTCCAGCGCGCAGAGAGGTCGGCCAGCAGCCCCACGCGGGCGTCCGGGGTGGGCGCGTCTCCACGCGCCCCTGTGCTCCGCGGCGGCCCGGGCAAAGACGGGAGAGCCCGGGCCTGGGGCCGGGTGCTGGGGGCGGGACTGGGCTGCCGAGGCAGCCAGGGGGCATCTCGGCCCCTCGGCCCACTCCCACCACCCCTGGCGCTTCTGGAGGAGAGGAAGGACACCGATGTCCAGCAGGAAGGGGACCGAGAGGACAGCACCAAGCAGCTGGAGCCCAGGACCCCCCTCTGCCTCCAGCAGCCCCCAGCATCCAGCCCAGCGCCCCGAGGCAGGCCAGTGGGGGGCAGCGGCTGAGCCGCTCAGCAAAGGTGCAGACCCCACACACACGCATGCATTCTTGTGCACACTCACACTCCTTCCCACCAACGCACAGATTCTCACCCACTCATCCATGCACACACATTCTTACACACTCATGCACTCACCAATGCTCACAACCCACACGCACAATCACAATGACAGCCGCATCTCACTCTGAAACTTTCAGTCCTGCTCACACGTACTTTCACACACGCCACACACATGCTCAGACACCTCACACCCTCACACACACCCTTGTGCACAGGCGTGTACTCCTGCTCCCACCACACTCACCGCCACACAGCCCCTCACAGACACCCTACTCTTGCACACTTACACACGCTCATGCTGCCTCGCACGCTCACACGCACACACGCAGACACATAGACCCGGGCCCCCACGGGGACCGAGGCCGGCGGGCCCACCTGCACGTTCTGCAGGGCCAGGTCCTCCCTGCCGCTTCCCCCGTGGGCCGCGAAGCGCGGCCTCCTCCCCGTCACCAGGCTGAAGATGCCCAGGACGGCCTTCACGGCGGGGTCGATGCCGAGGCCGATGTGGTGGCTGGGAGGCGAGAGGGCGGGCGGGGCGGGCGTGAGCACACCGCAGCACGCGCGTGCCCCGGAACTCGTCGTGGTGGCCATCCCCGAGCGCAGGACTCAGCGGCACCTGGTGCGCCCACACGGCTGTGCACCCACCGCCTCTGTCTCACTGCGGAACGCTCTGTCACCCCGGGAGGAGACCCGCGGGCTGCCACCACCCGCTCTCCTCGTCCAGCCCCCGACGACGAGGAGCCCGCTCCCTCTCTCTGTGGCCTTGCCTGTGCCGGGCGGGCACAGAGATGACCCACACTGCGTCCACCCTTTGGGTCTGGCCCGTTCTCGCAGCCCAGTGTCCTCGAGGGACCTCCGCGCCGCCGCGGGGGTCAGGCCTGCGCACGTCAGCCCAGGCCGCCCACGCCTGGGACGCTGGGATGGGAAGGAGGGGGAGAGCAGACAGCTTGGGTTCGGGGTGAAACGGGTACACGGGCTCCCTAGAACCTGGCTCGAGCCCAGAGGCAGCGAAACCACAAACGTGGTCGCAGGCGCGGCTTCCCGCGGTCACAGCCACCGGCCTGTGCCGCCGCTGGCGGCGACACCTGTACCTTCCGATCTGCTGGGCCAGGTCTCTGGCCCTGTCGCTGGTCTCCCGGGAGGAGTTCTCGCTGGCCATGTAGCAGGTCGTGAGGACGCGCCCGCAGAGCTCGCGGGGGTCCTCGGGGGTGTAGCTGGCCTGGTTCACGACGGCCCGGACGTCCGCCAGCACCTCCTGGTCTGCAAACGGCCACGCGGAAGGTCAGCGGCCCCTCGCTGTGCACGAGTGTCCCTCTGCATCGCCCCAGGAGCCTCGTCACATGAGTAGAGTCACCCCACTTTTTGGATGTGTCACTAGGGGACGTCCAATGCCAAGACACATGGCGGTGGATTTGAACTTGGCCTGATGCTCAAAGCTCACATTCTTTGCACCAGGCCATGCCGGCGAGAGCAGCAGCAGACACCGGCCCAAAGCCCTGGGAAGGGACATGGAAGGCCTCGCTGTGCCCGGGCCCCAGGCCCCGGGCGCGATGGGGACATCTCGGCAGGGCCCACAGAGCCTCCCCTGCCCGAGCCGCCCACACCCCGGGTCCGTCCCCTGCTCCCCCCACGGGCAGTCCGAGCCCCCGACACCACCTACTTCCGTTCTTCACGGCCTCGCAGACCTGGCAGCACATGGAGTACACGAGGCAGGCGGTGGCCGCGCTGTCCACCCCGCCACTCAGGGGCAGGAAAAACCCTCCCTGGAGCGGGCCAACCAAACGCAAGGGTGAGCACAGCCTCGGCCAGAGCTCAGCCCCCGCTACGCCCACAAAACTGGTGAGCGCCCACAGAAAGGCTCGCTGGCGTCCGAGCTCCCGCTGGGGGAGGGAGGAGGAGCCTGGGGCACCCCACTGTGCATTTCTAGAGGGCAGAGGCCTCCCATCGAGACAGCGCATGCTCCATGGTGAGTACAGATGGGCAGGAGCCGCCAGGCCACACACAGAGCCAGACCTCGGGGCCCTTCGGCCCCCAGCTGGGGTAGACCAGGCCCCCGAGGAAGTCAGAGGAAGACATGCTTTGGGTTGCTTACATTTTAAAACAAAACCACTATAAAACCCGCCATAGAACCAACGCAAACCCACCGGCAAAGGAGCGGTCGGCTGGTGAGACCCTGCGTTCTTACCTGTTGGCTGCGTCTTAAAAAGTCCCAGAGCCAGCAGGCGGGTCCGAGGCTGGGGAGAAATGGTGGGGGGCGGGGGGCGTTGGGTGCGGGAAGTGCCGCTCTGGCCGCAGCTCCCGTGGGGCAGGCGCCTGGGGACTGGGCCGCTGAGAGCCGCCGGCAGCACCGGGCTCTCGGCACGCCGGCCCCTTTAAGCACCGAACCGAATGAACGGATGCATTTTAAGTCTCAAAACAGCCCTGACAGGCGGGTCCTGCCTTTGGTCCCGTTTTGAAACAGAGAAACTGAGTGAGACGCAGAAAGGACCGGACAGAGCGTTTGTCTCGAGGTCTCAGTGTGAGGAAGCGTCCGAGCTGGGGGCGGCACAGGGTGGTGTGGCCGCAGCGCCCACGCCCTCGGCCCCGGGAGGCACGGCAGCCTCCTAACCACGCGGCTCCCCAGGCGGGTTCTGAAAACCAGCCACGGCGTTTGCTCCGTGCGGCCCCTGGCGCAGAGCAGGGTGGAGGGGGCAGCCCACGGGGCCCCGTCCTGCGTGGGAAGGCCGCCCACCTGATCTCCTCGCCGACGCTGTGGTACTTCCACTCCACGGGCTCGGACAGCGGCTCCAGCAGGTCCTCGTGGCACGAGAGGGCAAAGTCCACCTTCACGCGGGGGTAGGGGCTCACCCTGCTGGCCTGTCGATGGGGAGTCGCGACCAATGACGTCCCCTCGGCACCGAGACCGTCACAGGGCCCAGACAGGGACTGAGAGCCGGCCTCTGTCAGCCAGTGGGATGTGCCCAGCACAGCCGCAGCGGGAGACCCTCCACCCGCCGGGACGGCTGCGGTCAGAAAGACAGACGGTCACAGTGTGGGTGGGGACGTGGGGGGGTCGGAGCCCTCGAATTAATGTCGCTGGTCAGAACGCAGGACGGGGCAGAAAGTGATCAAAGCATAGAAGGAGCACGTGGCCCAGCAATCCCACCCCCGGGTATGTGCTCCGGAGCAGTGGGAGCTGAGCCCGCACCCAAATGTGGGCGCGTCTTCCCAGCAGCATATCCACCGTGCGTGAGGGTGGCAAACCCCCGTGGCTGTCCACGGGTGAGGGGACACGCACAGCGTGGCCTGCCCCTCGGTGGAATGTTACCCGGCCACCAAAAGCAATGACGCCCCGACTCTGGCCACGGCAGGGGCGGGCCCCCCTGGGCACACTCTGCTCAGTGGGAAGCCAGCCGCAGCAGACCGCGCGTGGTGTGAGTCCCTGTACAGAGCGGCCAGATGCACAGAGACAGGCAGCAGAGCGGTGGCTGCCGGGGCCGGCGGGGGCGAGCGGACAGGGTTCCTTTCTGGGGTGCTGGAGTGTGCTGACACTGACGGTGGTGACGGCTGCCTGGGGTGCGTGTGAACGCACTAACCCCCCCCCCCGCCCCCCGAGTCAAGGGCTTAACCCAGCGACTCTGTGGCACAGACATGGTACCTCGAAGACGCTGTCATTTAAAAAATAAAAAGGTTTCCGGGTCTGCGGCCGGCATCCTACCGGGGCGTCTGTCCACGTACCGCCAGGTTTCGAGAGGAAATCTCCGCCCTGTAGCTTCTGACGTCCTCCAAGTCCAACGTGGCGGTGAGGACTTCCTGGGGGAGGGGTTTCAAAGAGAAAGCGTGATTTCCTGGCTTTTCCACTCACACGTGTGATTGGACCACTTCAGTGGGTGTGCCAGAGTGCACAGGGATGGGTCACGGCTTCCGTGGCTGGGGCAGGGGCCTCGTGGAGTCTAGGGGCCCAGGGAGAGGGGAGGACTGGTGCCGTTGCCTCCCCAAAGCTGTGCCCTCTTGTTGCCACTAGAACCTCCGTACAGGACATGATTCTGTCGATAAATGTCTGCTGCGGGCTTGTGAGACAGCTTAAAAGGGCACACGGGAGCAAGGGCCCCTTTTGTGCCTTTGAACTCAGCTGTGTGGAGATGCAATGGCTGGAGCTGCTGCAGCTATTTTGTGACCAGGAGGAGAGGAACTCCGAGAATAAAGTTCACACAGAGGATGGCTGAGCTGGGGAGTGGCAGACAGGTGGAGCCAGAGTCCTGTGACCCATGCCAGGGTCCTGGCCCCCAATGAGCCACCTGTGTTACAAGAGGTGATGCTTCCGTGCTTTTGACCTCAGATAAACTTGGGAGGGCGGGGTAGGGAATCTCTCACTTGCAATATATGGCAGAAAAAAACAAAGGTTTTAACTTGCAAATGTATTCCTTCCTTTACAAAAAAAAAAAGCCTAATCAAATTACTTTACTACAATGCTGTCTCATTACACATAAGGGTGGGACACCTATGGGTGACACTGGATGGCTGTGGCCACCCCGCTCCTGCCACTAGGCCTGTGGACAGCTGCCTCTGTCAACCCTGGGCCCGACTCAAGCTGCAGACACCCACTAAGAGAAAGAGAATAAGGCGCTCACGCATTCTTCGCTTCTCCTGTCATTTCCCAAGAGGTGGGTCACCGAAGCCACCGTGCTTCTGACATGACAAAGCCCAAGAAAGCGTGAAGCCACTCGAAAACAAAGAGACCCTGGAGGGTGTGACCGTCCTCACGAGAAGAAGGCCCCATCCCACTTCTCCCCACAACGAGGTTGGTTTGCAGATGGACGTGAGATGCGTGTGTCCTGGCACAGCTTCGCGCTCGGCGCAGGGTAGCCGGTGGGACAGCCGCGCCGACCCCACACGCCGGTTTCCCTGGTCACCTTAGGCAGAGCATGGAGGAGGTGGCACGATGGCACTGCCTTTGGCCTGAGGACAGGGACGCCACCTCCATCCCTGAACACTGGGGCAGAGTCAGGGAAGTCCAGCTCGCAAGGCCCCCGGGGAACGTGAGGCAAAGGTCCCCCGATGCTGGCGTGCGTAAGAAGCACGTGGGTTGTTGCTGTGAGTCAGGACCCCTGGGCGCCGATGTGGAGGCCTGGGTGCGACCTGCACACCTGCGTACCCTGGCACGGGGGACCCCGCCCCACCTGCCAGTCAAGTCCATGCCAAGGCGCCTGCAGCTTTGACATGAGGCCGAGTGGCCGGTCCAAACCGACCTGGACGGAAAGAAACGCAGCCACGCGCGAGGACTTGACCCATCCGTTCAAACCCCTTCCTCTTTGTTGCGGTTAATCCTGAACACCGGGGTCCTCTGAGGGTGCTGTCACTCGGACAGCAGAGCCCAGGGGACAGCTAGGAGGCCTTCCTCGGGGGACCAGTGTGCCTGCTGCTGGAACCCAGGTCCAACACTGCTCCCCAAAGTACGAGTGCCGAAGGTAGCTGGGTCCAGAGACCGGGAGGGGACTCTGTCACCCGGACGGATGGCCCCAGCCCAGGCCCAGCCCCCCCACCGGGGCCCAGGGACCCCCTGTCGTGTGTGCACAATCGGAACCCACGTCCGTTTGGGGCGATGGCCACTGTTTTCCTTTGTTCTGGCTCCACAAAAGCAGAGGTGAGAGCGACCCAGTGTCTACAAGGACCTTCTCGTCTGTCTGCTCAGCCCGTGTCGTGGCTTCCAGTGGCCACCAGCCGTGGAATGATCCAACATGCCCCTCACGGGTTCGGGGGCGGGGGGGGGACCAGGGTTGCCCACCCTCGTGCTCCTATGACGCCTCCCCCGCCCACCCTGCAGGGAGACCGTGCGTGGGGCGGGGTCCCGCTCCCTGGGTGGCGCGCAGGTGCGGCTGATAAACTGCCGTGGACTTCATCTGCCCCGTGTTGGGGGCGTGTGCAGCGTGGGGACTGTCCCTGTAAACACGGGTGGGGGCTCCTCTCCCACTGAGCAGGTACAAGGAAGCAAGCAGGAAGGACACCCCCGGGGGCCCGCACCAGACCCCCCGGCTGTTGGTGGGGGGATGAGAAGACAGGCTCTGGACCAGCCCCGGCTGGGAGGGGACCGCCCCCCGCCCCCCAACGTGTGCGCAGGTGCCTCACCACGTCGTCCAGGGAGAACTGGGAGCCCTGAGCGAACACGCTGCCGTTCATGGCGATCATGGCGCAGCCGTCGTAGTACAGCCGGTCCCCATCACAGCCCTTCTGGTTGGCCAGCAGGTAGATCCCTCCGTTCTGGAAAACGCGGAGCCGCCGGCGCGCGTCACCTGGGCCTCCGCCGGCCCCTGCGGCCCGCAGACCCCTTCCCACCAGCTCACGAGCAGTGTCCCCAGCAGGAAAGACACGCACACGCTCGGGGAGGCACACAGCCGTGCGGCGACCGTGCCCTTGGCCTTCTGGGGCCCCAGGCGTGACGAGCACGTCTACGTCCCCCCCGAACAGCCCCCCAAGGCAGGCGCTGGCACCTCCGTCAGACAGGAGGGGTGAGTGGGTGCAGAGAGGACGGATCTACACCCGAGAGTGACTGCTGAGGCAAACCTGTTCCGTGAGTGACCGCACAACATGGTTCTCACGGCGTCACCAACAAGAGTGGTGGGCACGAGGGGGGGCGCTCCCTGAGCTCCCCCAAGATGCCAACGGGCAGGCGGCACGGCCCAGCTCCCGGTCACCGTGTCACTCGCTTGTCCCGGACACAGTGTGGTGGTCGAAGACCCGGGAGCCTGGAGGCCACCTGTCCGCTATGTGCCTGCAGCCTGCTCTGGGGGGAAATGACCACAGCGCCTCCCTTGGGGGTGGGGGAGTGGCTGCGAGGGCTGGACGGGGTCGGGCAGGCGCACTCCAGGAGAGGAGAGCATGCCTGTGGGGCCCGGGCCACAGCCACAGCACCGAGTGGCCGTCACACACAGGCCACACCCTGTGCTACGTGCAGGGACTCTCACTCATGTGAGACGCAAAGCGCCAGCCTAGGTACCCGAAGGCTCCCGTGCCCTAGCCCGTGCCCACCTTGGTGGTAGCCATGGTCACCAGGTCCACCCTGGCGTGGGCTTTGCGCAGCACGTGGTGGCTGCCGGAGGCGTTGGTGAAGATCTCCACGCCGTCCAGGCCCATGTCGATGTGCGGACTGCGGGCAGAGGGGGCAAAGAATCAGACGGGCAGCATCCCCAGGCTGCCCCCCGAGCCTCAGCAGCTCCCGGGCGTCTCCAGAGCCCCAGGCCGGGACCCCGGGACATCTGCCAGTCCCCAGCGCTCCTGGCTGGCCTCGCGAGGGCGGGGGGAGGGCGGGGTAGGGGGGCCTACCTGTGGGGCATCCAGAGCTCCTCGCAGATCTCACTGCCGATGCAGGTGTCCCGGGTGGCCAGCACTGCGTCCCCGAAGGGCACGGTCTCCTGCAGGCAGGGGGCAAGTCCACACGGCACTCCTCAGCCATCGCCGTCTGGGCTGCCTACCAGCCCAGGACCCTGGGCGTCTCTCAGACTTTCATGAAGGTCGGTGATTTGCTCTGTGCTCCGATGTGTCCTGTACCTGCAGTGCGCCCCGCCCAGGTGGCCCGGCGGCAGCTGGCACCGCCCTGCTGACCCCAAGGGCCTGGGGCCACACATTCACAAGCCAGGAGCCGGACTCGGAGGTGCCACGGAGCTTACGTGGCTGAGGGGCCCTGGCTCAGCTCCGGACGTGTCCACGAGCACGCATGGCCACCATGATTGTGGCTGTTCACGACGGCTGCCCCCACTACCAGGGGCCCCTCCCGGCTCGGCGTGGCACTGAGCACTTTCTCGGCGTTGTCTGCACACCTGACGGTGTCGCTAGGACATAGCCCTGTCCCCGTGTCACAAATGACCCAGCTGAGGCCTGCGAAGTCCCAGAAACCTGACAAAGGCCGCCCAGCTCCTGCGCGGCAGGCCCGGACGCAGCATGCAGGCGCGTCCGTCCTCAAGAGCCACCTCCATGAACCACGAGGGGCGGCCACGTCCAGTGCAGGGTGGCACCTCGAACCCACGGCTGCCGGGGCCAGTTCCTGCAACCCGTCCTCAGCCAGGGGCCACACATACACACACACACACAGACATGCACAACACCCACATACTGCGCTCTGGGTCCCGATGACTTTACAACATGCCCAAGGCGTTCCAATTCCCTTGGGAGGTGACGGGTCCTGGCTGAGAACACCCCCCCCAGCCTGAGCCACGCCATCCCCGACTGCTAGTTCAGAAGGGCCTGGGTGGGAGCAGCAGGCGTGACGTAGGAGAGAGGGGACCCACCACTGTCTGGGGTCCTGGGACTCCTCCCCACTGAGAGGGGATGCCCTGCTCTGTTGGCTACCCACACACGCCGTGGGGGTCCTGTGACGTTGACCCGAAGGCTCCCGCCCCACACGGTCTGCCGTCGGCCCCGAACAGCGACGTTGGAGTGAAAAGTGCATTTCAGTCCCCGAGACCCACCTGCTTTGTCAGGTCCTGGAGCATCCGGGGCAGGAAGTACTCCTCCGTTTGCCTGCGGGGGGAGGGCGCGGGCTGAGGGCCATGTTGGGCCCGGGGGCCTCAGCCGCGAATCCGCGCCGCCCCCTCTGTCTCGGCCTCCCCACCTGGGACCCACGGGGAGGTCACAGTTCCCCATCAGGGAATCCAGGGGAAACCCAGAAAGATCACCCTGCATTCATCCGACACACGTTACAAGCCTGTATCATCCCTGAAATAACAACAATGGTCCAAGGTCTACGAGACCGACAGGAGGCCGCGCACACACAGAGGCGCAGGCACCTGAGGGCCCCCGCCCCTACCCCAAAAGGCAGCACCGCCAAAACATAGGGCTCAGGGACATGACCTCACACAGGCTGTTGTTACAGGTGCATCACGGAGACACCGCGTTCACGCTGCTGCTTTCTGAGAACCCGCAGGAGCTTCCGGATGACTTCCGCGCCCGCTCTGACTTAAGTCATCTTAAAAAGAGGGGCTGGCTTCTGTCCCTCACTAAGGAAGGGAGCGGGACACCCAGACCCCGCTGGCTCGGTGCCACCCTGTCGCCCAACGCAGAGCGTCCGTAGGTTTGCTGATGGTGACAGTCGCTTCTTTCATTCTGACATCATCTTCTGGAGGTTTCCCCGGGTTCACGCAGGGTGCTGGCTTTCGCCTGCCCTGGGTGATGCCGGCCCACGTCCCCGGGTCCCAGCCGGCCGTGGATGGCGGTGGCAGGGGGGCACCTGCCCCTCCTCAGTTTTCTGAAGAGTTTCTCCCAGCGAGGTGGGGGAGGGCTCCTTTGCCGGCAGCCTTGCGTGTTCTACCACTTCACCTCATTAGCCCCGCGGGCCACACGGGTACCTCACTGCGATCCCAGTGCACCTGGTCCCACGGCCACGGTGCCGTCTCTCCGCGTAGTCACGGGTTTTCCCCTCTGCGACCTGTGTACTGGTCTGTTTCTTTCTTTCTTCTTCTTGTGCTTCATTGATTGGATTTCTTTCCTTTGGCTTTTTCTTACTGATTCACGGATCCTTGTCCATCCCGGACAGTGATCTTCACGAACACACGCTCATGCGGCATGTACTGCAGGCTGCGGTCCTCAGAACGGAGGAACATGACTACAGACTCCTTTCCGGCCCCAAGGTCACAAAAACACGACCTGGTATCGTCTCAAAGATCGACACTCGGATCTTTCACTGTAGTGTTTGACCCTTCTGGAGGTGTTCTGGGCCAATGATTTAATAACCAACCGTGCCTGTGGCGTGAAGCCTCCACAAAACGCACAGCACGGCGTTTGGGGGGCTTCCGGGTCGGGAACACGCAAAGGTGTGGGGACAGTGGCCCCTGGAGACGGCGTGGAGGCTCCGCCCTGCACCCCACACCTTGCCCCAGCGTCCCTTCCACCCGGCTGTTCCCGAGTCACGCCCTTTCAGAACAAACCGGTGACCTAGCGAGTAAATGTTTCCCTGAGTCCTGTGCGCTGCTCTAGCGAATTAATCGAACCCAAGGCGGGGGTCGTGGGAAACTCCACTCTACAGCCAGCTGACCAGAAGCCCAGGTGACCCCTGGACTAGCAACTGGTGTCAGAAGCTGGGGCGGGGGCAAGCTCGTGGGACCGGGCCCTGCAGCTGGGGGGGGTGGGCGCGGGGTCTGACGCTCTCGCAGAACTGAGTGCACTGCCCGGTGGCGCCACCCTCACAGATCAGGGGAAGCCGGGCTCCCACGAGCGAGCGGCCGACAAGGGAAGGACCAGACACGGGAGCTGATCACGCGCAGGGAGAAGCAGGCCCCGGAACGGTGACAGGAAGGGGGTGACCACTGTGCAGCAGGCCCGGAGCCCTGGAAGGCTGGGGTTGGAGGGCACAGTGGGCCCCGACAGCCGAGATGGAAGGTGACAGGGACGGGACAGCTGGCAGGAGGAGCGGGCATGCCAGGCACACTCAGAGCACAGCCTGCAGCTCAGCCGTGAACTTGCACAGAAGCGAGTCCACAAACACCCAGCTGCGACTCCACCTGAAAACTCTGAGGGTCCACGTCAGGAAGACGGGGCGCAGAGACTAAAGGGGGGCTCTCTGGGCCAAGCCCTGTTCTTCCGGAGCTGGAAGGCCCCAGGGGGCAGCGTGTGCGCATCCTCCAAATACGAGGTGAGACCCCGAGGGTCCGGGAGAAGGGAGCAGATGAAATCGGGTGGGAGCAGGGCTGGGGACCAGGCGGAGCGAGTGGCTGTCTGGTTCGCTATCAAGTTCATGGAACTATTTACAAGGTTCAAAACCGAATTTTACATTCAAAAAAGCAGAATATCTGCACTATACAAAGGAACAGACCACTGGGGGAATCTCAAAGCATCAGGTTAGCACGAGGAACCAGCTGGGACAGAACACACCACACGCGTGACTCCGCCTGATGCCCAAACCAGGAGGCGCTCCTGTTGGGGGGGGGGGGTTGGCTGCAGGGGGCGGAGGTGGGGCAGGGCCAGGGGCGGGGCAGGGTCGCCACAACTCACGCAGCTGCCAGACACAAAGCACTGAAAACCCGTACTTGATGATACGCTATTTGTACCTTGATAAAAATAATTTACAGTGGCCTTGCTGGCATAGCTCAGTGGATTGAGCTCAGTGGGCTGCGAACCAAAGTGTCGCAGGTTCGATTCCCAGTCAGGGTACATGCCCAGTCAGGGCCATGACCCCCAGCAACTGCACATGGATGTTTCTCTCTCTCTCTCTATCTCCCTCCCTTCCCTCTCTAAAAATAAATAAATAAAATCTTTAAAAAATAATTTACAGTGGACAGTTTTGATATAATATTCCTGAATTTGGACTTCTAAAGAGAATTTTAGTCACCTTATTCCCTGATATGCCATAATTTGTAATAATTTCCCATAATTTGTAAAGTGTTCAGAGCACGGAAAACAATTAAAAAAATTTTTTTAACCTAGCACAATGCTGGCACCCAGAGCTAGCAAAAGAGGAAGATCCGGAGTAGACATTAGCAACCCGAAACAGAGTTTAACCTGCCACATCCATCGGGAGTTTTTCCCAGAACCGCAGAGAGTTACTTCATAGCCGTCCCAGCAGATGCTGGGATGACAGGTGACACACCCAACGTCCTCGCCCGGTCCTTAAACCCCAAAGTGAGGAGAGCCAGAGGTGGGTGCAAATCTGGAACCCAAGCAGAAACGGGGCGGACTTTCCAAGTCAAGTCGGCAGAAAAACACAAACACCCACCACCATCAAAGACGGCTGCTCTGGAAAGTTTCTAGATACTCGTTCCAGAAATGCCAGCCAGCAAGCGCTGTGACGGAAATGGGCCGAGAGGCGTCCGTATGGGAAAGGAGAAGCAAAATCAGTTGTTCGGAGCCAGCGGAGTGACTACCAGACACGGTAAGGGAACGCACAACGGTGGCCAGTTAGTTACAAAAGCAACACAGAGGATCCCAGCTTCCTCTCTAAAAATACAGACCGCTGAACGGCGTCGCGCAAAGCTTCTGTTTACGGCAGGGGTAACAATATATACATAAACAGGACTGGCGGTACGGAGAACACAGGGCCCAGCTTCTCCACCAGGGGTGACTGGGCGCCCGGGGACACGTGACAATGTCTGGAGGCATTCTGGGTTGTCACAAATGGACAGAAGTCAGGTGGAGGCCAGGGCCACGGTGGGACAGCCGGCAGGAGAAGGACCGCCCCACGGACGAGGGGCTGGAGCGGAGAAACACCGACAGACAAGCGAAGTGAGCGGCCATCCCCATGGATGCTCGAGTTTTATGCCGGTGACGAATTGTCTACAGTCTAATCAGCAGCGGCACAACGGCCACACCTAAATGACAGGTAGGGGGCTTTGCCATGCCCCTCCCCCACGACCTGGATCACACCGCCACCCACGGCGCAGATGCGTCGCACACTCCCGAGGAGCGGTCACCAGGCCGCTCCCGTGCCCCAGGAACCCGCACTCACCGGCTCCGGGACCACGGGGTGAACCAGCGCAGCTCGCGGTAGTTCCCTTCGTTGGCCAAGGCCATCTTGGGTCTGATGAGCAGGATCTTCCTACAGGCAGGGGACGAGAGTGTCCCTGAGACGGACACTCCGGGTAACGGGGAACAGCCCACGGACTAACGCAGCCCTGACTTGGACCCCGAGCCCCGGCAGGTATCACTCCGCGGGTCTGCGAGGGGCCGGGTAGAAACCGACGCTCCCACGACGGACCCGGCAACAGGGTCGTGTGTCGCCAAACCCCACCCTGTGGTCTCTCTCTTTCTAGCACCTTAAAGGTGCCCACGTGGTCGTGGCAGGGACCGGGGGAAATAATGTCACTTCTGCCTGGCGCCCCGAAGACACCTCCCAGGGACCACGTCTCAGCCCCCAGAGCACTCGGAGAGCACTCGGGTCCCCGCAGTCCTGGCGACCGCCTACCTGTTGAGAAATATCACCCTGCAGTTGTAGCGCACGTTCCGGTGCATCACGGGCCTGCGGAGAGAGGGGGCGCATGCGTGCGTCAGCAAACGCATGGATCTTTCTCTGCTTCCATCAGAGGCGCTCTGGGCCCCTTGCAGAGAATCCGAGGCTGCGGGGCGGCTTCCTCAAACCCAAGTTAAAAATGGGCGGCAGGTTCTGCCAAGGCGCAGACTCCAAGATGGGACACAGCCTCCTAAGCCCACAGAGACTCCGTCCCCTCAGGGGTCCTTCCAGGGGCTACCTCCCTGAGGCCAGGGCAGCCTTGGATATATCGCACCCTTGAACTTCCCTCTTTTCTGAGCTTTCTTGTCATCCCTCGGGTGGGCACTTACATTCCCACGTCACAGATGATGTCTTGGGTGACTGGAGACTCCAAGAGGGCAGCCAGGACTTGCAGCGAATGCAAGAGGGTGTCCGACTCGTAGTAGTGATCCCAGCATCCATAGCCGCTGCGGAGGGAGGGAGGGAGGGAGGGGACAGACGGTGAGCCCCAGGGACACACGGTCACATGGCAACTAATTGGTTATTTCTGAATAAGGGCGGGGAAAGGGCCCAGGGGCCAATCGGTGAGATGCGCCAGGTGCGACCCAGCAAGGGACCTTCTGGAAGCCCCCCGGGTGACTCTAGCCTGCAGCCCAAGTCGGAATCGCTGCTACAGAAAATGGTGCGTGTTATTGGGTATTAAGACTCGGGGGGGCCTCCCCTACAACCCTGGAAGGAAGGTCTTTGAGAGAACAAACCTGTCTGTTTTAGAACACCCAGCTTGTGGGCCTTTGCTTGGCAACCCAAAACTAATACAAGGCCCCAGGGTACCAGCAAGCCCGGGGCAAGGAGGAGCGAAGGCTCCACGGCCGGGCCGGACCCCGGAGACCAACGGGAACCTGGGGAAGCCCAGGGGGCAGCGGACACCCACATTAGGGAAGAAACCTGGGGTTGTAGGAGCCTTAGTGTGGCAACTCCTCTGTTATTTCTGAAGAAGGGGCTAGGAGGAAACCAAGGAGCCGCCAACTGCGCACAAAGGCAGCACACAGCGGTCACTACACTCACTTACGGAAAGGGGCCGAGACCACCGACCGCAAACTGTCTGTGGCCAAACAGGGAACGGACGCCCTGGGACGGGTGTTGGTTCTGAGAAGCAGCCCTGCCTTTACCGGCCAGGCAGGGAGAATCAGCTCCCTGAGCTGTGGGTGGGCACAGGCCCCTCACCAGTTTCTGAGGGTCTCCTCCGGGCCGCCCCTCCTTCCGCACCCCGAGGGCTGAGGGCAGCTGATGCAGAGACCTCCCTGCCCAGCCTGGGGCGCCCCAGAGTTCTGCTCTCACCATATTTCCAGTTCTGGTCCAAGCCTGTATTTTGCTCCCTTCTGTTTGGCAATTTCGATGCCTATGTGGAGAGAGAGAGAGAGAGAGAGAGAGGCCCGTTCAGCACCCACTGTACGTTCAAAAGCAGATAAACGCTCTGCTGCAGAAGGGGCGATAAAAAGGGAACAAACACACAGAAGCACTCGGGACCTCCCTGCCCTGATGCCACCGAGGATGGCGTCTCCCAGGGGACCGCTGACCCCTGCAAGGAGCGAGAACCTGGCTGACCACCGCACCATGGAGGGAGGAGGAAGTCACTCCCTGGTAGTTCATTAACAAGCAAACGCGGAAGGTGCAACACAGGGAGAAGGCAGGGCTTGGAGGCACCAGCCAGGGGCAGGCACAGTGACCCTCTGGGTTGGGCCAGCAGCCCCCCAGGGCAGCGTGGGAGAGGCCGGCTGAGCGGCCACCGGAGTACACCTCTCTTCCCCCAACCAGATCTGCTCTGAGTTCTGACGGGATGACAGCCCATTGATATTGACAAAACAAAACAAAAAACGGATGCAGGTTCCAGGCACCTGGCTGATAAGACGTCGCCGCCAGAATCTTTCCACTTTTGCTGTTCTTGGCAAGCCTCCTTGCAGTAAGCAGCTGAGGACCCGACTCCCTGGGCGGCCACCCCTGCAGGGCCGCCCGGGGGTAGGCAGAAGCGGTGAAAGCGTTTACTCGCAATGGTGAGCCAGCTCCCTCGACAACTCTCTGTCGATCCCACTACATGAAGACCACACCTGGCCTCTCGGCTTGCCGGCTCACCTTCATTCCACCCCACTCTTGGGGCTGCTTCTCCCATGGCCCCCCAGGCAGGAAGGTCCTCAGGCACCAGAGACCACCCACTGTCGGACATTTCACAACATCCTCTCCAGTGATTGGACACCGTCTCCCCTTACCCACCTCCGAGGACGGGCAGCTTAACTCAGATACGGCACATGCGACCCCGGAGATACCAGAGGACAGGTATGCACCAACCCTCTCATCTGCACTCCACGACCAGGCTTTTCTTACCAGGTACACGCACCACGTGTCCCCAGGCACTGTAAACGTCTCCTCCACCCTTCGAGGAGGGCCTGGGCACTCACACGAGCGTGGTCATTATCCATGATCTGTCCCCACGCCCACTCCGAGAGCTTCTCCAGGTCAAGGCAATGAGCGCCAAAAGCAAGCCAGTCGGGCCCTTTGCTCCGCCCACTGTCCCAGACTCACTCTTTAATATCCTTTGCAAATTGCCCTCGAAGTCCAGGGCCCACTGGTTGAGCGCGCAGGTAGCCACGGTCACCTTCCGGCCCATCCTGGCCACAGTCGCCTGGGTACTGTGGGTCCTTCTGTCCCACAAAGACCGGCTGCGCCCGCGCAAGCCCTTCCCGGCGGCCCCGCCCCGCAGGGCGGACCTGGCGGAGATTGGACCGCAGAGCCAGGACGTCAGGCTCCACCCCTTGGCCGCCCCGCCCCTCCCATGCTAGCCCCGCCCCACGCCTTGAGCGCTCCTCCCGCGTCTCGCCCCGCCTCCAGACCGCCGCGCTCCGCCCCGCCCCTTTGGTGCTCGCCCGGTCCCCTGCTTAGATCTCTCCGTCCACGCTCGTGCGTAGCCCAGCCCCGCCCCGCCCGTCGCCTAGCAGGGCTTCCCAGACCGTCCAGCCCCGCCCGCGGAACCAGGCCGCGCCTGCGCAATGTGGGAGACCCGTCAGTGTCCGGTTGCTAGGGGGTGGGCTGCACCGGAACCCTCTGCACCCGCGCCCTGCACCCCAACAGGCGGAGGGGTTGGTCGCCAGGTCCCGGAGCGCTGGTGTAGGGGCAGGCCTGGCCCCTGTCCCCACCCCTCTATTGTATTCCACACTTCCCCATAAATTGCACCTTAATGTGCTTCCGCAACTCGATGTTTTTTCCTGTAGTGTTGTTACCCTCGGGGCCTGCCTGGGGCTGGGCTGGTAGTGTGTGCGTTCTTGACTTCCGCAGGGAAGGTGTCACAGCACCAGTCCGGGTGATTTGGGGTGTGTTTATTAAGGGCGGGCACAGTGAAACAAGGACGGGTTTAGGGTAGAAGAAGCAAGAGGACAGAGCATAGGCTGGGCTGCTTTTGTTGCAGAGCGATTTGATCTGATCACCGGGGAGGAGTAGGGAGGGGCCGTAGGAGGAGCTCGCGAGGCCAAGGTGTAAGGTAAGTGGAGGCAGTCTGGCTTCCTCGCCCGGGTGTCTGGGTAATTAAGAGGGGCAGCGTTCCCGTAACCTTGGAGGAGCCTGATAACCAGTGTTCTCATAGCCTTGAGACTGGGTCGGATAAACTAACTGTTCCCATAACATGAAGTGAGCTCGCATCCGCAGAGCTACGGTAGTCTGTTATGTAAGGGTCTGGCTGTTTTCCTGCTTTGTTCCCCTCTAGCACTTAAACAGGTAGGGGCTTTTCACTAGGGAGGCGCGCAGCTTGTGGCTTGCGCGGTCGCCCACTCGCCGATTAAAGAAACGTCAGGGATCCCTACGCATTTTCCTCCTCTCCCGGAGGCAAGAGTGGGGCTGCCAGGCCTTGATGGGTTGCAACACACGAAGGAAGCAGCCTGGGGCGCGATCTGCTGAGATAAAGAGAGGGCTGGCTCACCGCTCTCTGGCTCCTGGGCGGGCTCTCTCCCGCTCTTGGGCTCTTCCTCAAGGATGCCTGCGCTTCCCAACCAGCAGTATGGGAAGGAGCTCTGGGCACAGCCTAGGGGCGGGCTGGCCTGGCAGGAGGAGGTGGCAGGTTTATTCTTCAGGTGTCCTAGAGGGAACAGGCTCTGAGGCAGATGCCTGCCATTCCTCCAAAGTTGGGTAGCTTTTGTATCTTATGCTGCTTTAGTTTGTAAACTAACCCTACAGAAATAAGATCATTAAAACAGGGACAAGCTAAGAGAACCCAGGTGTTAGAGCTTAGCCTTAATTGACAGGTTTCAGTGTTTAAAGCGGTGACTTTATAGGCTTAAGTGACTGCTTTTGAATAAAGATGCCTTTCCTTTATCACCAAACCTTTGCCTCTGGAATTTTGCCCAGAGGGTGGCAGCGGGACCCCAGCTGCTGCTCGGTAACCCTCGGGCTCTCTCAAAGTGTTACAGGGAAGAAACGAGCCTAGGTGGGCTGCTTTGGCTCACTGAGAAGTCAGGGAGAAGGGGGCCTTGGAGACGGGTTCAGGGGATGAGCCCAGGATGAGCTGCTCCTGCCCACTGCTCCCCCAGCTGCAAGTCTCGTGGGGACCCTTAGAGTTTACAAGAAAGAAAAGAACAAGTTCATGCTGGAGAAAAAGCGAGGGCGTGCTACAGGGAGAGCCCAGTCTGGGTCCTTCGTCTTGAGGCTTTTATCCCTCTTCTGAGGGTGGGCAGCCTAGGGGAGGAGGTCCCAGGGGAGGGTCTTAACTGTATATTCATTCGTTTTCCAGGTGTGTCCTTTGGCATGTTGATTCCTCACAATGGGTGTCTAGAGGGGTCAGGGTTATTCTCTGGTCAGCGCGATCCGTCTTTAAAGAGTGTCATTGAAAGGAAACTGGACCAGCACGGTCTGCCCAGCACAGTCTGGAATGTGTAAATCCTTTGCTCCTGGGTGTCCTTGGTTCAGGAAGATGAGACCGGTGATCCACTAGCTGATTGCAAACTGCGCAAATTGCTTGGCCTTGTGTAGTTATTTTGTCTGCTTCCCTCATTCCTTTTGCCAAGGAATTTCCCTAGCTTCTTACTATCCTGCCTCAGTATCAGCTACATTCTTTACATCATTTTTCTGCAGCTCTCCATTTATCGGGTCAATAAGAGGCAGGCATTTAAATGACTGGCAGCGTTGTGCCAACACGCAGGGGCTTGCACACACGCGTGCTGCTGCTGTTTTCATTCCCACAGGTGTCCCCTCGGGGGGCCTCCGATGTTTCCTCTACACCTGTAGCCAGCAGGGTCTCCAGGGTCTGTGCCCACCTGAGCAGCACTGTGCACGCGTTTAATATGCTAACGTCGCCTGGTGCCCCTCCGAACGTCTGCGCCTGTTCACCACCTGCAGTTTCCCTTTTCCTGTTTCACTCTTTAGTCCAGTAAGAATCTCTCCTTTCTTGTATGCGTTAGAACCGCAGCACCGCTGCTGACGGAATAGTCCACCCTTTCCTCCTGATTGGCAAAGCTATACCTCTGCTGTGCAAATATGTGCTTTCGAGTTTTAAACACCGTATTTTGCCGTGTACCGTGCGCGCGCACTGTTTTTTGCGCATTATACACGGGGTCATTATATCTGTGGCGCGTAATCATTATCCCCATGTATAGAGCACACCCTTAGTGTCCCCCCCAAAAGGCGGGCAAAAACCATGCGCATTATCCGTGGCAAAATATGGTAGCTGTTTCCTCTGTTTACAAAGTAGTGCTTGCTCATGACAAGCTGCAACCCCCAGAAAAGCACAAAAATGTGTATCTGATAATTGACTGAATCCTTATGTCAAACCTGTGGGGTTAGTTTTCATTCCCAGAAACCTCTCGATTCTTCTGGTCAACAATGGCTGATTCTAGGCCTGGGGCTAGGAAGAGGAGGACCCTCTGACGGCTGGCTGTAGCAGAAAATAAGCAAATTCTCAAAGAATGAGGGGGGCGTGGTACCTGAAAAAGAGAAGTGGCTTGAAGGGACTCCCACTGGCCAAATATAGGACAATTTGGGTATGCAAAAGATAACTTTTTTTTTCAAAAAATGAATGAGCGTACAGGATCATAAGTCAGTGAGTAGAAAACCTATTAATCAATACTGACCAAAAAATTAAATAGGAGAGGAAAATTCTTCACAGAGAAAGTGCCAACGAATACATTTTGAAGGAATGATGAAATGAGAAAAGCACCCGTTTGCACCGAGAGGTCAGCGATGCAGGCCGAAGTCTTCGTTGAATGAATGCCAGGTGCCTGGATGAAAGGTCGTTGGAGAACAGCGTACGTAGGGACACAGTCTCAAAGTGTCACTCCACGGGTTACTTATTAACCAGGTGAGGAAAAGTGGAGACATCTGGCGGAAACCACCTGACCGCACGGTCAGACTTCCCTCCGACCGTGGGACAGAGTGACATCGCGCTGCCTCCTGATATGATCACTGAAACCACGACATCATCTAGGTCGCGTGTCATCCTGCCCCTAAGCGCCCAGGCTGAATGTGAGGGCGAGGAAACCAGCCAACCCAAACAGTGGGATGGCAGAAAGGTAGCCTGGGTTCTTCAAAACTGTCATGTTATGGGAAACCAAAAAGATACACTGTAACACGTCACAAAGGCTGGCCCCTGCTCCAGACTCAGGAAGGATAAGGGGGCTGTGGCAGCTAAATGCACGGCGTGGTTTCCTGATTCGATCCTGGGTTTTCCAAAAGAGCTCTGAAGGGCATTTCTGGGACACTGGGCACACAGATCAGGTAAGAGCAATGCACTGATGCCAAATTTCCAGAGCATGGCCATTTTATTTTAGTAACATGAAAGAAGATCCTTGTTTTTAGGAGGTGGATACTGATGTACTTAGGAGGGAGGTCTGGAGGTCTCATCTGTAGCGAATGAATGGTCCGGGCTGGGGGAACGGAGGGGGATGACACACGCACAGAGAGAGAGAGAGGAAAGTTATCTGGGGAATCTAGGCATATGGGTGTCACTTCACTATATACCCAACTGGTTTGTTTGACATCTTTGAAAATAAAAAAAAAAACTGCAAGGAAAATAAATGTCTCCGTGAGCCACACAGACATGTGCCAAGCAGATCCTCCGGCCAGGAAGCCTGACGCCCCATGAGCAGAAAGTGGGGTCCACGGACGCCTTCAGCTGCCCTCCTCCCCAGGGGCTGCCTGACTGTTCAGCTGCCCCGCCCAAGGTCATGCCCTTGCTAGGGTGGCTCCTGATGGCGGCAGGAGTATGTGGTTGGACCCTTCCTGTCCAGTGGGACAACTCTGGGCGGCTGTCTAATCACCGCAGCTTGCCCGTGTCTTTTGCCAAGGCCGAGAGCGTGCTTTGTGACTCAGCTTCTCCCTCTGCCCAGCGCTGCCGCTCCCTCCCTTCCCGCCTCTGCGCGGGTGTGATCCCTAGTAAGCATTCCACCCTGAGCCCCATGTCCCCGCCGCTTTCTGGGGAACTGGGCTGTGATGGCCTCCTAGCAGAGCGCCCTGTCTGCCACCCCTAAATAACACTGCTCCTCACACACTCAATCTGTTACCCTGCTTTAACCTCACCATCTGACGCCCTATATACCTACTTGATTGTTTCGTGTTACGGCCTCCCGTCCTAAAAGCAGGGATTTGGTCTGTTTTGCGGATCCCGCACCTGGCCCCCAGGTGCTCTGTATTTGCTGCGCGCCTTGGAAGCCCCGCTAGCAGTAGAGGAAACTGAGGCACGGAGTAAGAAGCTTGCCCACGA